TTCTGCCATAGTCAAGCTATCATAAGAAGGTTACTGTGGTTAAATACCTGCAACCATCACAGACTATACACTAACAGCGAACATTTTTAATATCCATGTTATTATCATAAAACGTACACTTGCTGTATTCATTTTGTACACTGAAATGTACTTCTGTTGTTCATCACCAATGGGAATATAGGTTCATCATATTTCTTGACTTGAAATCCACTGTGTTAAGGGAAAGGTGTTGTGGCAGTGTGTGACTGTAAAACGAATGCCAAGCAAAGTTTTGGTACAAGTTGGAATTTTTTATATTTGAACTCATGCATCTCTGTAAGGGTGTATAGAGAGTTGTTCTCTTAAGGGATAACAACCAATGGTGTCTACTAGATATACCCACTGTCACCACTTTTGTTTGAACCGTGTTGTATATGCATCTAATGGAAATAACCTTAGGTACCTGTGACTTTATAACGATTCATCTGCTCTTTGGGGGTCATCTAGTTGATAGATGATATTGTCCGGGTAGATGAAGACGCTAACACAATGCAGGGTTTTCTCAACGCGTCCAGCCGAAATCTGAGTATGTCTGGGACCCGCCAAATTTGAGATAATGCTACAGGACGTCTACAACTACTTCCAGTTTGATGGTAGCTAATGAAGTGATGGAATGTATCGACTACTTCACTTACTTCGGGAGTTGTATCAGCCCACCAAACGAGCTTGTCGGTGGTGAAAGCTCAGCTCGCATACATAAGGCTCACTTAGTATTTGTCAACTTGCGTGAATTGTGGCCCCTATTGGTGGGATCTCCGACCTGTATACTATGCTACAGTTTGTTCTGTCCTGTTATACAACTGTGAAACATGGCTGTCAAAAGTTGAAGAGATGAAGCGGTTGCAACTCTTTGATCATAGGTGTCTTCGTAGCATTGCTCGTGTGTGATGTTATCATCATGTGAGTAATGTTGAGGTCAAACAAGTCGGTTGGTGAGGTTGTGAACCTTCATTGACTGAGGTGACTTAAACCAAGTGACTGACAAAATCAATGTAGGACCTCACACACATGTGTATCAGTTCAAATCGACATGTACTGTGCATGCAAGCCACCGCCTACTTCGACATACAATGCTAGGAGAAGTTGGATTAAGTTGGAAGAAGGCTGACCGTGTAGAAACCAAGACGTGATACTAGTGCATGAAGTCTCCTACTGCTTATCTGAGCTGTATGGAGAGATGTTAGCTCCTTGGCTGGGGGAGGGGGTCCCTAAGATGATTGGAATCAGTGGTTGAAGGACTGTTGGTGAAGTGGCTGAAAACTGATCTCAGTGGCGCAGATATCCTCTTCCTATTTGGATGTCAGTGTTTTTCTATCCACTGGTTGTTTGTATACTATTGTGAAGTGTGACAACTCTAAGTGAGGCACTTATGCGCTAGGTTCGTTGATTTTTACTGTCTGTCTGTGGACCGTTTGGTTGCTGGTGGGGTGCACAAGGTCCATTGAGCATTTGCCAACTTGGGTCATCTCTGATACCGACCGGAGTGATATCCGACTATCTTTTAAAGAATGATCGTACTCTGCTGCTATTTCGGCTGTCCTACGGCTACATATGACCATTGAAAGTTGATGCGAAGATATTATTATTTGTGAAACTGAGACCCTGTAATTTGTTGTAGAGTTCATACCGAAATAATTCTCATAATAAAAACTTTGGTGCAGCCATCAGCTGATTCAGAAGGAACAAATAAATGAACATGGCAACCCACACGGGTTTCCACATTTGATAGAAGCATGTAAAGAAGTTGGTAGTAAAAGTTAATAATAAGGTGAATACATGTCTATGAGAGGATATAGAATATATAGGCAAATGATAATTATATGTTCAAAAATATATTAATGATAGATATTGGTTAGCAGTGGAATCCAGGACACTCATTTCCTTTCATTTGGGACTTGTCAGCTTAATTTACCTGGGTCACAGTGAGCGATGTTGCTCCCATGAAGAATCAGGTGCATCCACCTGACGAGTCCCAAATAGGACGCAGTATATATCCTGGATTACACTGCTAGCCATCATCCATCATTAATACATAACTGAAACATAGCATCTGCACATCAGCTGATCAATTCGGTTCAACCAACGACAGGAATCACACAAGTAATAACATGATTACCATAATTGACAGTCAGGCGATATCTAGGCATTCTCATAGGTGCACTTATGCCAATAGAGGTCGAACAATTCAATCCAATAAAACAATGGACAATAAAAGTATATCAATAAGTAGTCATTACTACTCGTTGTACAAGAAGGGGCTATCGTTCCTCCGTGGCCTAGTGGATAACGCCTTGGTGTTCGAAGCGATGGTTACGAGGTTCGAGTCGCGATAGGAATAACATCACTCCGAACTGTGATGGAGATATATGCAGCTGACGAGTCCCAAATTGGACGAAACGCACGCTAGCCACACCTAACTAAATTACAATAACATGGTTTATTCAAAACTTTGAAGATGAAAGAGGAATTAATGCATCTCAACCTGTAGGATTGATTTTTAGCCATGTCATCAAAGATTTCAACTATACATACATATATGCACAATAGTGCATTGTTTTTCACGCGTGTGTTCCAGTTAAGTGTCTGTGTTAAGATGATCCATGTTTATTTTTTAATCTACCCTACCTGTTAATCGTGGGACATACTATAAACTTGTTTATCACTGATGTACTTTTGTTTTTTTCTTCTTCATATTTCCATTTGATATTGTGCACATTTTTGGTGTGTTTTTCTTCCTCCACTTGGAATCTATCGGCTTTACTGATTCAAATAGGGGTGTGTGTGTGTGTGTTTTCCTCTGATTTACTTGATGATCATAACAATGATGATTATTAATGATGGGCAGTGGCTAGCAGTGATGATTTTGATGTTGGTGTACTGGTAGAGGCAGAGAATAGGAGCATTTAGATAGTTCAGAGTGGTTGGTATTGTTACCCATATACAACACGTACTATGTATTGGTTTGTCTTCAGTTTACATTCAGTAGAATGTACACATGACTCACTTGATCGATTTGCCATTTTGACTCATTTAGTTCGATGTTGGAAAAAATTAGACTATCTAACCATGGTGATCTTCATCAGATTGATTCATCTTCTGCCTGCGATAACCTCCACTGTTCTATTGTCTGCGTTGATTAAGTTTCAAGTCTGAGAAACTTGGCGGTAGGCTTCTTGATAATCCGTCTGATTAATAATAACCACCATATAATTAAGTTTTAATGTAATCCCGTGTTTAATAATAATAGTAACAACATAACGGTAATAATTGACTCGGTTACAACTAGCAGTGGAATCCAGGATGTATGTTTCGTCTTCTTTGGGACTCGTCAGCTGAATATACTTGCACCTCATTGAGTGATGTTGTTCCCACTGAGACTCGAACCCTGAACTCTAGACGTTATCCACTTGTCTGGTTATGCATGATAGCCTCCTCTGGAGTCCACTGCTAGACACAACCAAGTCAATCATAACAATAAATATTCGGACATATCGAGTTATCCGCAATGCAACCGAAATGCCAACTATCGGCGGTCAATTCAATCCATTATAACAAAGGAGAACTGCAAGTATCAACAGATAATAATGACTAACACTATGAAAGACGACTATTCAGTGGAGACTCAATCTGTAGATACCATGATGTAATCCTCCCCGGTTATATTCATGAAGACTAATTGATAACTATCATGGTAAACAGTTATTTAATTGTAGTTTCGACTATATCACCAATTCACATTGAGAAGGGTCTACAGGAGATCGAATCGGATGAGTCTAAAGATACTACTCTAACAACTAAAAAAGTAACCAATTAAAGCTCTGTGTTTCATGAAATAAAGAAGCCTAATTGATTATTTCAATCATTGCCAAGGTAGCCTATGCAGTCACTCATTTTGAAAAGAAACTTCATGCAGTTTATCCCACTACATTTTAATTCTCAAAGTTTGACCATTTTATCGGATATTATCAATGAGAATTCAGTTTGATTTGTGAGAATTGATTGATGTCGAGATAGTATTCATCATGAACTGTCATCAATTGGCAAACCATTGAAAATTTGCCAGTCACTGTGGAACTGTTTGGCTCTAGTATCGGACTGGTCATCAGTTTACACTCACCTTGACACCAATCAGTTGCCACAACTCTCCAAATTAAATTACAGTCTTGTACTGATTAATGGCATACTTTGAGTTGGATTACCCAAATTTTCAGTGAAAAGACGTGACCTGTTGAGTCAATCAGACCGTGTATATGGTCGAATACTCACAGATGACTTTGAATAATGATTGCATTATGCCGAGAACTGACAAAAGTCGGGAAATGTAAGGCATTGAAATATGACCTTATTTCTGGGTGATAACACTCGGATTGTGAAACCTGAGGTACTTGGGTTGGATCACTCATGAAATCATGGGTGTCCATTGCTGAGGTGTCGCATTATAAGACGAAACAGCTATCCAATGCCTCCAGGTTTTCAATGGTTCTCCAGACGATGTCAATCTGTGAGAAATATTAACTTGACAATTTACTCTACAGTTCTGATCTGATATACCTTACATAGCCCATAACTTCCCACAAGAACTGTATGAAACTAATCCTAACCAATTGTCCATAACCCGGTCAGTGTTCTCATTTGGTGTCTGAGATACGAATAACTTAAAAATGGATGTCTCCATATTTCACCTCGGTAGCTGATTGATTGGTAATCACACAATTTGGAGTTATTGAATTCGACTGTCTATGTGTGTGTGTGTGTGTGTGTACATTAGTAGAGCGAGTCCTGAAGGTTAGAACAAAAGGGTTCTTCGCTGTTCTCCAGCCACTAACCGTTGCTGACTGCTGTCAGTTGGTCATGGATAATTCGTTTGAAATCACTAAGTTTATTTAAGTTTTAGCATTACTATTATTTTCTCGATTATACTTTCTTTTCGTTTTGTTTTTTTCCTTCTACCATAATTATAGAAATGGTCATAAATATACGCATGAAAGTCGTAAACCACATGCATGTCATTTTTGTGATAAATCTTATAGTGATTCACGTTCACTTCGACGACACTATGAAAATGCTCACCCTGAAGAGAATGAACGTTGGATGTTGTTATGTCAAGCAACAAATGGAGATACAAGCGCTATATCTGTTGCTGCTGCCGCTGCTGCAGCTGCATTATTATCTTCAACAACACTGGAAGCAGATCCAGCATTATTATCTGAGTTATCTAATGCAGTGAATTCGTCAATAATAACAACATCTGGAAGTGGTGATGGTGTTGGCAGCAGTAGTAATAGTAGTACTGGTAGTAATGAATCACCATTAACATTGTTGACTGCTTTAAGCAGTACTTCCACATCATCATCTTCATCATTGTCACCTTCCTCAAGTGTAAACAAACTTATTGAATTAGGCCAACAAACCGGTCTTTCACCTGCTGCTCTAGTAGCTTTAGTAGCTTCAACTGGGTCTACATCTAGTCTTTCTTCAAGTATACATCGATTGGAACGTTCTTCTGCCAGTAAAATATCTGGTAAGTAGTTCACTAACCTATTTGTCGCGACTGATTGGTAAATTATAAAGTTTGTGTACTCATTTTTCTGCGTCTAATTATTCTTCCTTCTTACCACTATGCGTCAGGAAACACTGTCCAGTTGCACAAGATAAAATCTGAGCCTGAATGTAGCTATCGCTCCCTCAACTCTTACTGAGTTGGTCATTTTAAATCTTAAAAGATGCGAAGAAGTTGCCACAAACTTGTAGGTATAAACGTATGAGATTACTGAATAGCTTACACAAAGAGCTGACTGATGTATACGAATCACAGTCAGATTTGTCTGGGCCACTGTTCATTCTGGTTTATAAAAAAGGGGAACAGTTTTCTTGTGTCGTTGTGTGTCGTTTTTTACAATACCTCCAGACTGATTTCCATGAACTCGTAGTTTAAGAATAGGGAGTGAAGTTGTAGGAAGCGTTGGCCACTTAGCACCACTCCAAATGTGCTATTTAGTGACGAAAACTCAGGTGGAACATACAGTGGCGTTTGACCTTTTGCAGCCTACTACACATATGGCGTTGTTAAGGTATTCTATACAAATTTGGTGAACGTTATACACTGAGTATTATTCGTTTTCATCGTTCAACAAGTAAACTTTGAGTTACTTGATTTCTGACTAATTTCATATTCACTGAATTCAGTAAGTTGAATATTAATATTGTCAGTCATGATATTGTTCGACTAGATAGGTTACACTTAGACAGACATACAAATAACTTCGAAAACTTGAGCCTGATTCTCAACCCAGCCAGTAGCACATAAGAATAAGATGGAACAGATAACGATTTATTGCTCATATTGTCTCTTTGATCTGATGTCTATCAAAACTAAAATCCAATTCTATCCCATAGGTTTTATTTAGTTGATCTTGGAGATTAAGCGTTACAAAGTAGCCAAATGGAGAATTTAGAAGGAGTTTGAATTCCCTTTCATCAAACACATGATTGAAAGTATTATGTGGTTTGGCATTTTCGATTCCAGTAGTCTCAACAAATTACTATGTTCATTTCACTAGTCTAAAATGACAATATTCTGTCTTCGTAATTTTTTGTGTACACTTTTGAAATTGTAAAATGTTTTCAGCTTATCTCCTTGCTAGTTGACAGTAACATCAGGCGAAGAAGAAAGCATGGCATATGTCAGTAGATTCTTTAGCATATAACAATACAATTATCCTTGGAATGGTCAGCTGAAACTGCAGATTTTCGTTCTGACTGAATGAATATCCACGACTTTGTTATTCTTCTTCCTCATCCCCCCCCTCAAACGTATGCAGAGATTAGACGATAACCCTACAGCAGCCGTTCTTCGTTGTTCAGACGAATGGTCTTGGTTGTATAATGTTCTCTGAGCTGGGTTATTAGTCGTGGAGCTTTCATCATCTTGCTAGATGACGTCATCAGCACTAACTTCAGTATGGAGTAAGTTGTCAGTATCTCTCCGTGACTGATTCAGTAGCTTGAAGTGACGTACTGGTTTGTGATTGTCATAGGCTGAGTGTGGATGGTGCAATATGGGATTTGGAATAATTGTATACTGGCTTGTATTGTTAATAAAAGGTGAAAGTTGGCAAAAGCGGAAAAACGATGAATTGTGAAAGTAATCTTACCATTAGTTGAATAACCCACAGTTCCTTACTTCTATCGATTCACGTTATAGCTTGACTATCACCTAAGGTTTTCAGTTGGAATCCACTTCACTTCCGACTGGCTGACCTCATAGGTTACCGCTTGTCATTAGAAATTCGGAATACCTACGTCACAGCATGTCACTAATGAGTACTGTACTGTAATTTAGTTTGAGGTTTATGCGAATTTTATTTATTTTAAGATAGTGTTCATTACACATGTCTTCTTAGCGTTTCTTGCGTGTAGTCAGGCAAAGGGTACCAGGTAAGATACGCAAGTAGATCAATGAAGTCGTGAACCCTCATAGACTGAGGTTACTTGGACACGTACTGCGGATGCCGAGTCACTGCCTACTTAGACGTTTCATGCTGAGGGAAGTTGGTGTAGGTTGGGAGACGTTTCAGGGTGGCCAGACCCAGATATGGCAGTAGATGGTGGAGTTTCTGACTGTTGGTCTGAGCTTCGTAGGGAGGTGTAGACTGCCTAGCTGGGATCCTCAAGACAATACGAATCAGAGGTTGAGGACTCTTGGTGGCGTGGCAGAAAATTAGTCACAATCGTGCCACAGATGTATTCACTCCTTGACATCTTGAATATTTACAGTAGCCGTTATCATCAAATTGTTCGTTCTCATACAACTTTGTCTACTTTGATATCACTCTTTTTCTATCTACCTGTCCACTATTGTACTTCTGTGAAGTGTGGCAACTTTAGTCAACGCACTTTTTTGTGAGGTTCTACGTTGATTCTATTGGTCAATCAATCAGTCAGTTATTCATCAGGGACTGATTAGGTCATTAGTGTGTACTGTTGAAGAGTCTCGCATAAACCTCAAACTAAACTACAGTACAAACAGTAAGAAGTGTAAAGACTGGATATACAGTCGATTATTTTTCCTTCATGTTTTAAATGAAGCACATTTTATGTTTGGTTTATTAAATGTGAGTGTTTTGTATAGTTACAAAATCTGGATCCAATTTTTACTGTAAACAGTACACTTTATTGATACCTGTTTTGATTGCATGCATCACCAATCCACTCAGTTAGCTAGTCAAATTCGAGGTAATTTCAATGAATCAACCTCTCTCCCTCACTGAATTACTTTGAGTACAGAAAGATAGGGAAATCAACGTAGAGCCTGACACATAAGTCCATCAGTTCACGTTCTCATGCTACAACAGGATGGAAGGAGCAAGTGGAGGAGAGATGAGAAATAAATAAACGTTAGCGAGAATGCTCAAACCTTCGAGGTATACAATGGATGTGTACATCTGCTCCATTATGGCTGATTTCCAACCACCATTTATTCCTATTATCTAGAAGATCCCAACCAACCAGTTTATAGCTCTCTACATGGCTCAGATTGACAGTCGAATATTTCGAGGACTGGTGATACGTTTCGGTTTAACCAACCTTAACCTTCTTCTAGGCCGATCCTGCTCTCGTTAAACACCAAGCATGGATTTAATCGGTAATTTAGGGTACATCGTTTATCTCCGTTCCAAATCAGGAGAACAGCTATTCACTGCTTAGATCAGCTTGTTTTGCTGATTGATTTGATTGGTCTACACCTACTCAGTCTTTATTAGCTGGATTTTACTGTTTTTTGCTTACCTAATTGGGATAAGGATAAATACAGAGTAAAATGGCTGAGGAGTAACATTTCTGACTGCGTAATTAGATGACACGAGTTCTAGTCTCAGACAGAAGATCAGTTCTGTCGAGTTTCCAGGTACGCGTTGCTAACGAATGCGAAAGAAAAACATGAAACTTAGGTGCAGGGCTTCTTGTCGATTTCTCCCATCCAACTAACATTTATTGGTTTGTTTACTTATTTGTTTGTTTCTTTTTATGCGCTAATGAACTCTGTTCACTTTGTTTGTTTTCTCTCAAGTGTATTTTCTATAATACAGTGTATAAAACTAGACAGAAAGTAATGAAAAATCAAAATAACAAATAATAATTTCATTCAACCCTGGAGTAGATAAACACTTTACTCTACTTGGTTGAATTAGCTTTTTCTGTTTTCTTTCAATTGAAGTTAACTGGTATATGAAGTTTTTCAAGGAATTTATAACTTGTCGAACGGCAACTGAGGTAATTTTACTGTTTATTATGAGACAAGTAACAGTTAGTGAAGTGTTAGGCATAGAGTGAAATAAACCTGTTGGCGTTCTGTTTTCTTCCATCGATCGAAGTACTCGAGGCAAATGTTTCACAAAGTAAATTGTATGGTTTTCTAAGACTAAAACATATAGCTTATCCATGAACGCTGCAGTTTTTCACTAAGATCATGTGTATCGTAATCCCAGAGTCTGAGAACATGACATCATCTCATACAGATCTGTTAGTAACTGATTTGATGCTCACGTACTATACTTGACCACGACCTAACTTTGAGGAATTGATCGAGTCGTTTAATACAAAAAGTGTATGTCTGTAGATTGATGCTATGTAAGGAGATGCGTAGACTGTACAGTTTTGATCTCCAAGACAATAGTAATAAATGGTTGGAAACTCTTGGTGATATAGGTAAAAATCAATCACAAAGGCACAGATGTACACATTCTTTACCATCTTCAAAGTCTTGAATAGTTTCATCTACCTTCCTTTTTTAACTCTCCCTCAACTCTCATAGACTTTTTTCTACCTTAATATCTCGCTTCTGCTATCCACTTTTCTTCTGCCTGCCTCTGTGTAGTGTTGCACCTTGAATAGATGCGCGTTTGTACAAGATTCTGTGTTCATTTATCTCTTTGTCAACGCTGATAAATCGAGCTATGTAGACTGACTGGTTGGGGGTGTTGATATATAGTTGACATCCAGCTAAATAGTAAAATCACTGTAATATATCTTCGGTTTAACCAATTCTCCAAATCCACGAAGGTCAAGAAGCAATATGAAGTATCACTGAATTATAGGTTATTGATTTTAGAAGTACACTCAATACTACGCAGCTGTAACCCTTGAATTGAAGGCTGTGTGCATTGAGCAGGCCTTTATCTCTTTACTTTTCCTTTTTCATTGTTTCCACTTTCCTCTGGATATCTAATGTTTGTAAAGCATAACAATTTGAAGTGACGTAGTACAGTTTTGGGTAATTGTCTAGGATTCATATTCAGTGCATGCGGAGCATGTGATTCGATACGGTGACCTAAGTTGAACTGAGTGGAGTGGATTCAAACCCATGGTTGAGTATTTGGTGTAACTAGAGTACTTAGTGCACACAGTCACATCTCCACTTACTTCATTTCAGTTGCCTAGTAGACTGTTGGAATGGGAGTTGGTCGTAATTTAGTCTAACCAATCAGATGATAGACCAATAGACATATCCCAACATGATTTCTT